CCCCACCCCCCAAGTTCAGTTTTTGTTGCGGATTCGGGGTCCTGTAGTGCAGCGCAGCACAGCCCCACCGTCAGAAAAAAAAAATAAAAAAATCCTGGCCCTGTTTTTGCGTCGCCCGGTTCACCCGGGCGGACCCCCCCGGGCCCAACCGGCCAGGGTCTGCCCGGCCGGGCGCCGGTGCAGCCTAGATACAAAACAAATAAATAAATAAATAAATAAATAAATAAACAGAAATGAATGTCATTCCTGCAGGAAGATGTCTGCATGCACGCCGTTGTGGGGTCGTGGTACTGTTGCCAAACAGAGAAGAAGAACATGCAAAGGGGGGTGCTAGCGAACAAAGGAAAAAAAGAAAAGACTTCAAAAAGGTTCAACAAAAATTATATATAGGCAATTCTGCGGAAATCTGTGTTTTTTTTGTCTTTTTTTTTTTCTTTTTCTTTTTTTCTCTTTGCTTCCACGGGCACTTAAGGGTTACAAGTTACAACTTACAACATTTTCCTGGATATCATAAAAATGAAAAATCAGAAAAATTGAATGCATCGCTGCACGACAATGTCTGCATTCATGCATGAGTGCGATCGTGGTGAGGGTGGCAAACTCAGAAGAAGAGAGCTTTCAAAGAGGGTGTTGGCCTGCGTAGCACGGAGAACGTATTCGCGCCCCTCCGCATTCGGGCGAACGTATTTGCGCCCCTCTGCATTCGGGCGAACGAGTTCGCGAACGGCTCACAACCGTGTTCCGGGAAACATAATTGTTTTTCGTTAAAAGTTCAAACAAATAAAATAAAATAAATCGGTTTTTTATTCTTCTTAACTCACGATTGGCTAAGCTTTTGAACATGACTCCGAGGCAAAAGTTGTTTGTATTGTTGTTTTACATGACATATATTTTTTATGTTCGCGTTTGGACGGTTTTCGGCGCTCATTCACGTTTGGGCGAACAATGCCGAACATGTTTGTGTTCACCTCCGAACGCGACCATGATGCTATGCAGGTATTGGCAAAAAACGCGGGGGGGGGGGGAATCCAAAAAAGTTCAAAAAAACGGAAAAAAAAACGAAATCTGAGGAAATCTGTGCATTCTTTTTTTTCTTTTTCCCCTTGCTTCCTCAGGCACTCAAGGGTTATAACTTTTTCCTGGAGATGGATAGCCGTGGGATGCCTCCAGAGTCTCATGCTTGCAGCGAACTGATAAGCTCCTTGTGCAGGTAACATTTTCCTGTTTACAAATTTTCAGACCTTAGCTCATTCAGATTTTCTGTTTAATTTTACATCTGTGCCTCCACTTTTTTTCCACCCTCTGTTCTGTTTTTTTGTCCCCTGAAGCTCCTTGTGAAACGGTATTCACCAGTTCGAAGTAGCTGATGCAGATCCCAGGGCTCGATCCCTAGTTCCCCAACTTACCTGTGTACAATACCTGTGTCAACTTGAAGGATTGAACCTGCGACCTGTAGAACCGCCAGTGGTAAGTAGGTCTGTCGTAGGTCTATAGGTAGCCAGGATTCGATCTGTAGACCTGTAGATTAGAAGTCTAGCTGCAGTCCTTCTAGAAGGTCGGCAAGTGGTCAAGTGGTGCAGGCAAGTGGCCAAGTGGTGCGACTAAAGCAAGCCCACGTTGTATACAACGTGGACAAGTGGCGAGGTCAAACAGCAGGACCCCAGTGCAACTGCACTGCGTCGTAGGGTCGTCGCCATGCAGTCAAGGGAGAGTCTAGAAAGTACCAGTCCGGTCCAGCAAGTACCACGGGGGGGACTGTGTGCACCATGGGCCAAGGATACAGGGCAGACCAACGCAGCGCAGAAGTATAAATCAAGAGGCTGCGTCCAGCCATTCATTCATTCCTGCGGATGCCATGCRGAAGCGCTGCCTCAGCAGCTTGTGCGAGGAGGTCTGCAGTGTGCCCGAAGACGAAGTGGGCAGAGAAGTGTAGTGTAGCGATAGGGTAGTGGCAGCTAGCGCTGCCATAGCCATAGCCTACTGTGTGTGTGTTGTGTATGAACATTGAGTGTCGCGTGTGGGACATCCAGGGTGATATCGAGYGTGAACAGTGAGTTGTATGGGCGCACAGTCGCCATAGCCAGTTGGAAGAGAACTCATATCTGGTTACGATATCTTTGAGTACTGTGTGGGCGCATGTCGCCAGTTCGCTGTATCGCTGTTTGCAAGCATGATGAAGTGTGAATAAGTCGAGTATGATTGCACTTGTGCAGATCTCGTTTTCTTCCATCTAGTTTACTTCGTCCCCAACCACATTGGCTTTGTTTTAAGATATACCCTTTTTTTAATTTTTTTATATTACAAAACAGAAAAAAGAAAAAAGATATTCGGATCGTATTCCCCTTAAAAACAAAACAAAACAAAAAAAAAAAAAAAAAAAAAAAAAAAAAAAAAAAAAAAAAAACAACAACAACAACAACAACAACAACAACAACAACAACAACAACGACGAGAGCCTTGAGAGTTAGTCATTGAATTGAGTGACCCCAGGTAAATTGAGTTATATCATCTTATTTTACTCATCTGATTCCGTGTGGAAGGAACGAACGGTAAGAAAGGGAGGGGAAGGGAGAGGAAGGGAGGGGAAGGGAGGGGAAGGGAGGGGAAAAGGGGACAAGGGATGGGTAGGGAGGAAGGGGAAGAGAGTGGGAAAGGGAGGGGGAGGGAAGAAGGAGAAGTGAGGGATGGAAGGGATGGGGAGGGGGGGGTAGGGGAGGGGGGGTTGTAGGGTGAGAAGGAAAAGAAACGAAGATATTAGAACGGAGTCGAAGGATGGAAGATAATCGAAATCAAGGGACGAGAAAAAGAAGAAAACGAAAGATAGGAAAGAAGAAAAAGAAAGAAGAGAAGGAAAAGCAACGAAGATGGGTAGGTTTTCATAACTTGTAACATGCCACCCTTGGCGACTGTTTTTTCTGCAGGGCTGGGGAGATGCAATGTGCATTTAAAGTTCGGGAGAAGATGATCAGCGCTGGCGTAAATGCTCAGCAGTTTGCTCTGTGCGATCTCATCAGCATGTGCAGCCGTGGAGGGCGTCATCAGAAAGCACTAGAGCTCTATGACGAATTCAAACGTCAGGCAGCGATGCCTCCGGGTAGCCTGTACTCCGAAGCGGGATTGCCTTTGGCAGGGAAAAATGGAAATACACAATCAACAAGAACGAGTCCAAAGACGACGGGCACCTTTTTCCCTTACTCCCCAAGCGCCCCTCCTCATATGACGGTAATGACATCAACTGCCTGTGAAGCATTGATCGAGGCGTGTTGCTTGCGTGGCCAGGTCAGCATATCGACTTTCCAGTGTTCCACACTTAGTCAAGTTTTCCAGTGTTCCACACTTAGTCAAAATTTCCAGTGTTCCACACTTAGTCGAAATTTCCAGTGTTCCACACTTAGTCAAATTTTCAAGAAATCTGCAATCCTGCACTGTCTCTGTGTGTAAATCATGAAGGGGGAAGTTTTTTTTTGGGGGTGGTGGGCAGCCCAAGCTTGAGGTAAGGGGAAAAAAAAGAGGTGAGGTTTGACTCTGAATTTAAAGGAAGGAAAAAAAAAGGGTCGGCTCCGTCAAGTAGACTAGTAGGGGGGAAGGGGGAGGGGGGAGGGGGGAGGGGGAGTAGACTGGTAGATGAGACAGGTGTGAGATTCACTTTTCAAGATTATTTTGAACGGTGCATGTGATGCTGTAAGTGTGACATTGAGGGCTTGCTCACACTGCGACTTCTTGGCATGTATCTGACCGTATATTTGGCCGAATTCTTCAGATTGTGGGGGGGGGCGGGAAGGGGGGGGAGAAGAAAAATGAAGAGTATTCGATTACCTATTCGGCAAACTGACTTGGAATTTTCTGAATGTATCTGAATGTACATTTGGTGAAATTCTGCCGACAGGGGTAAAAACTACTAAAAAGGAAGAAGAAAACTGTGGCCGCTGGATTGCCAATCCAATGAATGAACTACCACCGCCTTCACAGGAATACAATGTACGGTCATTACTGCTGCTGTATCAAGACTTTAAGTTGGCCCAAATACAGCTATAATAACCATACGTTGTATTAGGGCGAAGACGGTAGGACTTTTCAGGATGTATCTGACCATATTATCGGGTCAAATTCTGCAGACCAGGGGAAAAAAGTTGAAGAAAACTGTGGCCGTTGGATTGCCAATTCAATGAAGGAACTAGGACTTTTCTGGATGCACCTGACCTTGTACTTGGCCATATCCTTCAGACAAGTGAAAAAAAGAAGAAAACTGTGGCTGTTGGATTGCCAGACCGAGGAACCAAACCGAAAAGGTGGTTGCAAAACTTTTTGTGGGTCTCTACGGGTAACAAGGGTGGTTGCGAAAAAAAAAAAAAAAAAAAAAAAAACATTTAGTGGTGGGCACTGGGCACAGAGCGGATGCGACTTGTTCCGAAGAGGGGGTCCGGGGCTGCACTTGTGTGCGGTTTCGGCCCTGGGGGACCGGTATAACATCGAAGGATCCGGGGCTGAAGTCGTGCAAGTGCAGTTTGCTTTGTTCTCTTTTGAAGTTTTGATCGTGGACCGAGGAAACGACGATATGGAGGTATTTGGTGTCGGAACGAGGGAAGAGTCAGTGGTGTGACTGATGTGATGCCATTGCGACGGTGTTTACGATGGCTGCAATTCTACTGCAGATTGAGAAGGGAATGGCTGTCTTCCAAGATGCTCTGGAGGCAGGAGTTCATTTGAACACAGCAACGCTCGCTTACCTTGCTAACGTCTGCTCCAGGTAAGGGTTCATTATTCTTCAGCTGCCGACAACTACAACGCAACGCTGGTTTACGTCGATTTAACTCTGTTAAAATTTGCAATATCAGGAAGGAGGAGAACAAGGAGAACAAGAAGGGAGAGGGGGGAAGAGGGGGAAGAGGGAAGAAGGGGAAGAGGGGGAAGAGGGGGGGAAGAGGGGGAGAGAGAAGACTCTGTTGCAACGTGAACTGTGTTACGCATCCGTGTTGGAACTGGATGTTTGCACTTCCCGAGGTTGGCGCTATCTCCCCCGCCTTTTTTGTGTGTTCTTTTTTGTTTGCTGAATTCAATTGCAAAGGTGCTTGATCTTTCGTCTTTGCCTGTAACTCACCTCATGTGTTGTCGTCATCTCTTCCCCCTCCTCTTCTTTCTTTTGCCTGTTTGTGTGTTTTGTTTGGTGGGGAAGGGGAATAGGGGGAGGAGGGGGAGGAGGGGGAGGAGGGGGAGAAGGGGGAAGAGGGAGGGGAAAAGAGGGAGGAGGGGGAGAAGGGGGAAGAGGGAGGGGAAAGAGGGGGAAGGGGAAGACGGGGTAGAGGGGGAGAGAAAAGAAATCTGTTGCAATGTGAACTGTGTTACGCATCCGTGTTGGAACTGGATGTTTGCTCGCCCAATGGTTGTCGTTATCTCCCCCTCATTTTTTGTCTGTCCTTTTTTGTTTGCTCAATTGATCTGCAAAGGCGCTTGATTTTGTCTTTGCTTCTAACTGGCCTAATGGTTGTCGCTAAATTGACGCAGGGAGAAATCTGGTGTCAGTTTTCACATCTATGCGGTGACGGCCCAGCTTCGTAAAGAACTTGCGCGGAGGAAGACGCTCGAGATAGATATGGAGAGCGAGCAGGCCGCCGAGTACAAACAGGCGCATTTCCGCAGCGGAAGAGGTTCTCATGATGGAGATGGAGAGGAATTTGAGTGGTCCGAGGAGGAGGACGAAGAAGAAGAAGAAGAAGAAGAAGAAGAAGAAGAAGAAGAAGAAGAAGAAGATCGTACAGAAGAGGAGTGGAGGGAGCAGACGGAGGGTAGAAAGGGATCATCCAACAGAAGCAGGAATGTGGAAGGAGGGGGTAGGAACGAAGGAGGAGGAAAACCGGAGCATGATGACTCGCAAAAGCCAGGTCATAGTTTTCAGGATGTTTCACGAGAGGAGCAGTCGTCAAATAGTCAGAGGGAAAGAGTGAGGAGGAGGCGGAGGAGCGAGAGGAGTGGAGAAGACTGAAGCTGTAATAGGCTTTGAAGAACTGACCCTTTTGTTGTATATCTGTTGCTTTGAACTTAGTTCAATCTTTTAAATTGTACCAAAAGTTTTTCACTTTTTCAGAAGTTTTTCCTCCATAAATCTGAGAAATCGAAATTGAAAATTCTCGGGAAAAACGAAACAACCAACTTTTGAAAACGCCGATTGAACTGCGTGGCGATATGCACTCTTCTATGGGCCTCGTTCCGCTACTCGCCATCCGCCACAGCTGGCGAACGCGACTTCGTTCCATTGCGTCGCCAATCGCTACAGAACCGTCGATGTCAGAAATGCGGTCCGAAAGCACTTGGCGGTTGGTCGCCACGGCCTCCTCCGTATACCCCCGCCTGCAATGGGCTTTCGTGGAGGGCGGCACTGGTCACCCCTCCGTGAACTGCTACGTGTGGCGACCGGCCCTGACACCGCGGCCCTGGCAGTAGGCCTGGCTTGTCCCGTAGTGCTGGCGTGTTCTCGCTGCGCGTGTTGTGAATTTCTGGGGCCTCGCCACACCACTCTCAAAATGTGAAAAAGGAGCGGGTGCAGCTGGCCATGTTCTAGCGCTAAGTTCATTCCCATTTTGCACATTTCGAGCATGGTGTGGCGATGCCCCTGGTCCCGCGTACATGTGGCGAAACGCCAGCACCGTTCCACATCTCCGCCATCCGCCACCGTCCAGTGTTGAGGCCGGGACGGTTACCACAACTCGTGTGGCGGGGACCACCATATGGAACCATGCATTCTTTTCCGTCACGATTTTCATGTTCTCGGCCTCGCCAAGACTCGCCATGTGGCAGATGGCAAGTAGTGGAACGAGGCCCTATCTATCTGATGGAATTAGTCGATCGTTTTCAGTGCAGTGCTTCTGGAATGCTGTCTTGCTTGTGGAAACATCTGTGGTGACTTACATTCTTGCAGACCCGGTAAGCAATGACAAAAAAAAAAAAAAAAAAAAAAAAAAAAAAAAAAAAAAAAAAAAAAAAAAAAAAAAACAATGACAAATTATTCTCGTGCAGATTTTTCTGAATCAATTCCTCGCAGAGTCTGGAAAGCATTGCAAGAAGAATGGTGACAAAAAAAAAAAAAAAAAAAGAAGGATGGTGACAAGGAGTACAATGTCAATTCGATGAGGAGCATCAACATCGATGACCAGAACAACAGTGATGAAAACCAAGAAGCAGGAAGAGGAGGAGGAGGAGGAGGAGGAGGATCAGGAGGAGGAGGAAGAGGAGGGTCTCATGGAAGAAGAAGAAGAAAACAAGAACTACGAGAAGAATGTTCGTGAGAAGAAGGAAGAAGAATGGAATTGCATCCACGAGTGCATCTCGAGAATTGAAAACACAGGACTTCCCACATGGGAGTTGGACGCTCAACCAAACGGCTAAGCGGACCGGGAAGAAAGTAAAGCCCCAAGACGAGTATTTAACTCTGTGTCCCACCCAGTCGCACTCGCACCTGACAACACAGGCCGCCGATGCAGCTACCAGGCAATATACCACCATTCTGCTGGTTGCTACACTCGGAAGAACTGAATTGCATCCACAACCTGATCCTGAGAAGGAAGTAGAAACTGAATTGCATCCACGAGCTGATCGGAGAAGAAGTAGAAACTGAATTTGCATCCACGAGCTGATCCCGAGAAGAAGTAGAAGAAGGAGAAGATTCTCATGGAGAAGAGGAAGTAGAACACAAAGAACAAGAAAAGATTGTTTGCATGCAAGAAGAAGAACGTGCACGTGGAAGAAGAAGAAGAAGAAGAAGAACAGCATGTCAAAGCAGAGGCCTCAGAAGTCTTGCTATTGCCCTCCTTAGTCCCATTCGTCAATGTAGTGGCCGGCCCACATAGTGCCATCCTGTCAAACATAGTATGACCCAGGCCCTCGTAGTACCAGCAAACTCACGTAGTATCACCTGGGCCGCAGAGCACCACCCGGTCCGCACCCCACGGAGTGCCACCCGACCTACTTAAACCACCAGTACTTGGCCCGGCTTAAAAAAAAGAATATGCTGCTCATTTACGGGCACAACTTTCTGGGCCGGCGCGTCATCCATCATTTTCATCAGTGGCCGGCGTTGCGTTTCGGGTCTCCGAAACTCGCGGTGAAGGGCCCGCGGCCGATGTATGGGCCAAGTAATCGCCACATAATACCACCCTGCCCACACTGTACCACGCACACCACATAATCATTTTCAGACTTGATGAAGATTAATTAAGAAATTAATTAAGTTCAATTTATGAATCGCACTCCACGTAGTGCCTCTCAACCCACTCAGCATCTCACCTAGGCCACATAATACCACCCTGCCCACATTGTACTACCCACGCCTCATAATACCACCCTGCCGGCATGATACTGCCCAGTCCACATCGTATGACCTGCCCCACATAGTACCGCCCGCTCCACATGGTATGACCCACCCTACGTCGTACGACCCACCCTACGCCGTACGACCTGACCCAGATAGTATCACTCAGGGCAGGCACATAATACCGCTCAGCCCGGATAATGCCTCTTAGCCGCTGTAAAGGCCAAATTGGCCAATATGACCAACAGAATTTATTACAACTGTATTTCAATATACTGTTTATGCTTCCAAAATACAAAGTTGGACGAATCTGGAAACTTTAGGAAATCTACTCCCCCGCCCTCAACCAACTCTTCCAGATTGAAAATAAAGAGGCTTAGCCTATTATATCATACCACATAAATGAAGTTTAATGAACGAACAGGTGAGGTTGGGTCGTTGAGCCGACATCCCTATTGCGGTTAGCCTATTGGCCCTGGGTGTCTTTCCTTGGTGCACCTTTTTGTTGTGCGTAATGCAGATAGACCTCTCTTGAGATTGATGTCGCAAGGGCCGTGTTTTTTTTGTTTTTTTTTGTTTTTTTTATAACTTAGAATTTCTATTTTACTCGAAATTGGGGCCGGCGTACCTCACAAACAACCCGGGCTAATAAAATGAAGCTGGGAGCATTGCGCAGCTTCGCTTACGGGGCATTGCCCTCACTCAGCCTAGATTCTAACACAGCTTTATAACAACGATTTCGTTGAAATGGACATTTTATATTTATACACTAGTCTATACTGCAATGCCGGAAATCGAAAATCTCTTAAGGACTTGTCCTCAAACTTTTAGGACTGCTAATGAGGGTCTATTCAAGTTGAGATCCAAAATCCAGAACACCTTGGGTTGACTTTGCTTATAGTAAGAAGGACAGAATCGTCCACGATAGCTGGGAGGTCCAGTATGGGCCGCAAGCTCCACCGTAGCCCGCCAGCAGTCCATCTATCGAACACGCATTCATCTCACCCATCCACACACCCATCCACCCACCCCGAAGTAAGTCACTGGAGCGTAGTCCTGAGGGACAACTTTCCAAGACCGAACCGCATTGCGCTGGCCACATCAGTTTTCTCCCTAGCTAACGGCCATTGCGTACGGAGCGAAAAAAAAAAAAAAAATCACAAGTAGAACTTCGGTCTCCCTCAAAATTTTATCCAGACTGCACTGTGGAGTACCACTTTAAGGGGCAGGCCCCCCCACTGGTTCTGTTTTCATCCTGGGATCCCTTGCGTTGGCCGGGCTTTGAGTGTCGGACCTTTTGCGTTGCCAGGTGTACACACTAGACTGCATTGGTCGACCTCCGCTGCCCGAAATGTGCAGGGCACGGGTCCGAAGGTTCGAAGCTGCGCCCTTGTACCACAATGCGCATTCCACGCTCGTGCTCTACCCAATGGGATCTGTATTTTTTCTTATATATGCATTCAAAGGGACGCTGAACCTGTTTTCCAGCAGGTGTCCCTTCCCACCAATACAACAGAGCCATCACCTGCAAACTGATTGGTACAAATACGCAATTGTGGGCCAAACTGTGACGAGCGAGCTTTCAGCATTATGCAGATTTCTGTATCATTGTGTGCTCGTTTATCTTATTAAAGGGGTTGCATAGTATTGCATACTACTTTTTATTTCTTGCCTTTTGGAATTCCGATATGGTTTGCAGTTTTTGTCTTTGGTGCGTGTGCTCTGTTGGGGCGAAGAATCTTTGTCACTTTTGATTTTGGTGTAATTTTGGGATACACCTTTGGAATTAGTTCATATATTTTCACTTTTGCATTGATGAAATAGGAATTGGCATAGGATTTCCGTGTGCCTTAGCGAGCGCTCGTGTGTTTCTTTTGGACTTTTCAATTTCAAAGTTGTCGTAAAAAAAAAGTGCTACTTTCATAGACACTTCATGGAACTGTTTCTGCGCCTTCTCGCCTTTCACGCATCCGCGTTTTCCACGCACGCATTTGTATGTAATCTTTTGAGCGCCCTTTGTCCTCCTCCTTCGCGCATTTCTCAATGATCGCAAGTGTCTTCTTCTCCTTTCTTTATCCCTCCGTTCTCTCTCCTCATCTTGTTGGATCTTGGTTCTTTTGCCCACACCATCTTCCGTAATTTCCTTTCCCGCCTTCGCTCCAACGCCAGGGCTATCGTGGCGAGCTGGCATGGCCGTAGATCGCTGCGTGGGGATTGATCTGATCCAGCTCCAGCATGGACTCGCTAACCTCTTTGCCCTCCTTTCCTCTGTGTGCGTCCTCGCTCCCTCGTCTCCGCGACTATAAATCTCACAAGGGTGTTTCCGTCTCTCGCTCTTACCCTATCCTCCAGCTTGGGTTAAGCAGTGGTTAAACGGTGGGTACTTAGTGGATCGAACAGTCTTGGCGATTTGACTGCGACATTGCAGGATTGTGTCATGTTGCTGCACGGTTTGCAGAACTTGTGCGGGTCATGTTGCTGCACGGATTGGGGCCATTACCCAGCTTAGGTGCAGACATTGGGATGTAATTCAGAGGCCTACAACTGAATTCGTTTTACGTGAGGAAATATTTGTTGAGGCTTTTTGGTTTATGTGGGTCTTAGGCCCTGTGGACATGTTTCTACGTAGGGTTGTGGCCTCACTTCATCTGGGTAGGATGTGACACACTTGCTTACGTGTCCGCACTAGTTCCCGTACCCATTTCGATCTTTTCTTCGTAAACCACCACTACCACACTACCTGAACTGTTGTTGGGAAAAAGGGAAAATAATATAATATCTTACTCCTTAAATATGGAGGGTTGAGCCCGACAACGACCGCCGTTGATAAATCTTGTTGGCAGCCGTCGTTTCGTCTCGGCCTCCTAAAGAATTGGAGGCCCACCTGAGGTCGGTATGGGAAAAGGTAGTGTTGCATTTAAAGGGGTTGTAGGCTACATTTTTGGTTTCGTATTTCGTATTCTGATGTAAGTCTACAGACCTCATCTTTGATGGGATGTCCATGGGTGGTTTGTGTGGGTTAATCGATTTGAATTCCTTTTCTCTTTTGTACATTTTGGAAATGCCCTTGCAATTTGTGTGAATTTCCATTGTTAATAGAAAAGATAGAAATTGATGTAGGGTTTTTGCACGTTTTACGGTTTTAGCAAGAGCGATCAAAATTGTTTCTCGAATTTTTCAATTTCAATTTGGTTGTAGAAATTAGGCGCAATTGTCACTGACATTTCAGGGAACTGTTTTGGTGCCTCTACGTTTTCCGCGAAGGCATTCTCTGCGCGCGCGCTTTTGCATGCAATCTTTTTATTGCATTCATCGTCCTTTTTTTTTGCGCCTTCACCGCCAAGCTGTAATTGTTTTATTCTCCCTCACTTCGCGCCTTCTTCGCCTTCTTGATCCCATTGACAGGGTGCCTCTATGAGAGCGGACGGATTCACCTCTCTCTCTCTCTCTCTCTCTCTCTCTCTCTCTCTCTCTCTCTCTCTCTCTCTCTCTCTCTCTCTCTCTCGCTCTCTCTGTGTGTGTGTGTGTGTGTGTGTGTGTGTGTGTGTGTGTGTGTGTGTGGATCTTTGATGAAAAGTGGTTGCATGGTGGAGCTTTAGTTTCTTCCATCTCCAGTTCCAGTTCACGTATGAATGCTTTGATCTTGTTTTTGTGGATGGATGTTCGAGACACTTGTTTTGTAAATGCCAACGGAGTCTTCTCTCCCTTTTCTTCTTTGCGGCTGTTCTTAGCTACACTCTAAGACTTTGGCTTGCAAGACGAATGTGCAAGGCGCTAATCTCTTGAAAGCGCAAGGGTCTTTTTGACTACGCTAAATGCACGATTGAGATGCATGCTAGGGTCCTTTGAGATTTATCCCCTGTTTGTTTATGGTTGTATGGAATGAATCTTCTTTCTCTCTAATGCGCGATCTCACATGTCGGATGCATGAAGTTTTTGTGGTTGGAAATCATTTAAGTTGTATAGATGATTGATCATTTGTCCTAGGTGCATTGGTAGTTAGGGGGGGGGAAATTGTTGATTCTCTCTCATTTTGCATGTGTTGCACAAAGGCTGTAGCGAGCGGAACACTCGTTACGCTATTCTACTTGCAGAACATGTGTGTGAATATTG